AAGCTGTTTATTCAGCATCTGTTCCATCCCAGTTTTCTATAAACGAAGGCTCTTAAATTAGCATCTTCACCCATTTTTGCAAATATCAAATATTTCTGTAGATGCGGAAGAGGAAGAGGTGGCTGAGGTGAAGACAGATGAGACGGTTTGAAGAATAAAGAGGTGGAGAGAAAGTCTGTGGTTGGCCAAAGTTACAGAATGACAGAGGAGATGGAGGGAGGAGGAGGAGGAGGTCCGAGCTCTGGGGCACAAATCCGATAGACAGATGTAGGGAAAGGAGGAGTGCAGTGGAGGATAGAGAGAGACCAGGAGAGGAGCAGGATGGGCGGAAGGTGGACACTTGAATTCTGAGTAAAAGCAGGAAAAGTTGCAGCTGGAAGCAGCAACAGATAAATTCAGGAAGCTGCAGAGACAGAGAGAGAGAGAGGGGAGTGGTGGAGAAGTATTTGCGGAGGAGGAGGTCGACACCGGGGGGGAGGAGGAGGTTTCACTCCCCTCAGCTCCTCTCAGTTTCTCAGGATTTCCCTCCCTGGACGCTGCTGCTGCTCTAAGTGCCTTCTCTCCAGGACCAAACTCTTCCATATCTGGACCTGGATTTGGACAAACGGTGACAAACAGGACGGAGACACGAAGCCCAAACCGAACTATCAGCAGCTGAGTTCAGTCTGAAAGGTGTCTGCTGTGAGTGAAAAGTGGATGATCTAAAACATCACAGTTCTCATAAGTAAGCCTGATCAGTCTGATTATTCCCACAGAGGAGCCTTTTTCACAAAACTCTGCTCGTTCCATCTGGACTCAGGGGTCTGTTTTGTTTGGATGCCGCTGACTCCAGAAGGTCAGATTGCACTCAGCTCCCAGATAAAGTATTTACAGCATGTTGTTGCTCCACAGCTGAGGTTTTAGAAATTGCTCATGTGGTTAGCGGATATAATGGGGTAATTTATTTCTGATTGCTAATGTTGTTTTGCCGTTTTTTATGGCTTGGAAGATGAGAAGACTCGTGCAATTTCGGGCTCTGCTCTCGCATGTTGTGTTCAACGAGTCAGTCGCTGAAACTTTCTCCAGGCTCACGGGAGCAGAATCCTGAGAATGGACAGCGAGGCTTCACCACATTGTTTGCTTTCCCCGAGTGATGATTTCATCTAAAACCAAGATGTGATTTATTAGTTATTAAACTATGACGTGAGGACTGATCGTTTAGATTACGAGGCTGTGGAGAAACTTGTGTCTTTGCCAGTGTGAGCTGAGGAAAGTCTGGGAAGCGACTCTGACCGTCCCCTTTAATGCACCGGTGATGAACGGCTCGTGACACGGCCCCCATTTTCCCTCATGGGTCCAGCGAGGGAGGTTTTCCATATATGTCGGCTTCTACATATTTTCCACTTGGGAATCGGTGTTGACATTAGAGCAGCCTTCGTCCAGCTCGCTGGCCTGGTTCTCATGCTGTGTCCTGGGCCTGGAAACAAACTCATGCAGTCCCCCAACAGCCAGACTGATTCTATCTCGGCTCACCTCTGTTGAAAACACTTGTTGTTTGGCGAGAGCGGCCTTCCCTTTTTCGTCTCCCAGGCCTTTCGCGTGCAGGTTTTGTGGCCCTGAGCGGCCTCCTCCTCCTGCTGACCTGCAGTCATGGGGATCCAGGGCATGGAGCTGTTTGCCATCGGCGTCGTCATCATCCTTTTCATGGCGGTTCTCAAGCAGTTTGGCATCCTGGAGCCCATGTCCTCGTTTGAAGGTAAGGGCCCGCCTGAGGCCCCTTCTGCTGGCTGACAGGTTCCTGCAGCTGCGTCACGTCTGCAGCCCTTTGACCACCTCCAAGCACCACGTCAACACCTCATGAACAGCAGCATATAGCACACTTTAATACAGACAAGTGCCAAGTCTCCAAACATATTTATTACCTCGTTAGACGCCAGCCTCCGCAGGATGAGCCGTAGTTGTCTTCTTATAAATTATCGATTGTTTATAAATGCCAAAAGGTAAAAGCACAAACATTTATCGATTACACTCTCACATATTTAAAGAAACAGTTTGAAAAAGCCTTGCATCACATTGCTTCCAAATTTGGCGATAAAACGAAAGAGAAACTGCTCCTTTAAGGGTTAAGTAAAATAAACTGTTTAAAATCCCCCCTGGATTAACCTCCACTGGCTCTCCCCGGCGCAAGACTAAAATCTTGTTTGGATAAACTCTGCTGCAGCAAACGCAGCTGCCGGTTTGTATATCTAATACTGTTGATCAGTCATTTCCAAAAGAGAGAAAAAAAAGAGAAATATTCCAGCACTAAATAAAGACGAGTATTGGCTTCATTTGTTACACTTCTAACATGAGTGGTGGTTTAACAGTCTGGATGTTGTTTAATAATAATATAATGCATCCTCACTGTAAACTGATGGACAGCAGTAAACGTGTTTCTTACATGTTCATGCATCATAATAACCCCCAAAAAATCTCATCTGTACTCAAACATTCTGCTGGAACTTGTGCTCTTTTGTTCCAGTGATATTTACGTTATTCTGACGTTGTCGTATGGGTAGTTTCACATGATGGATGTGACTCATTTGACCAGTTGTAATGTTCTGCGTGTTGCCTCAGACGTCACAAGGTGCTCCACATAAATAGAGAAGAAATTACGGGACTTCCTATAGTTATAATGTTTTAACAGCTAATTAGCATCTGGCCAGTGCACCTCCTGATTTATGTTGATTAATGTACAGAGTCCCTGAAACAACAACTAAATTAAATCAATCACAGTGTCGTCTCTGCTGGGTCTTTCCCCTTCGTTTCCTGTCAGAGGCACAGCCTTAAAATCTCCTATAATCACAGTGGCATTTAGCTTAAATGCTTTTTGGATATGTGTAAACACGATATAACTCTGGGACTATCAGCAAATCTGCGCGATGCCGTCACCAGAGTGGAGAAAAAAAAGGTTAATGGGTTGTTTTATTTTGCCTGCTAAGGGTTATACCGTAAAGGCTGGATGGACTGTGTACATTTGGGACTGTAAAAGAGACATCAGATACTGCTCTTTGAATGATGCAGCTCCCTTTGATTAGAGTTTTGGGCTGAAGGCCAGCCAGTCAGAGTGCCCTGCCGTCAGAGTGCCAAGACAATTACAGCCGGAAGGCTCCAGTCGGCACATTAGTGCTTCTCATATGGCTCGGCATCATAAGTAATAAATTCAACAAAAACACCAGTAATGTCCTTTCATAATTTATCACTCCTCTCAATCTCCCCAATCTTCAGTTCCACCGATACCTCCTCCTCCTCCTCCCACTGTGGCGGGGCCTACACCCCGGTTTAGCATTACTCCGCATCAATTATACATGCAGTATTGAACAGGCTTTCTCTGAGGCCGCCTAAATATGGAGCCCAGAGTGCTCCTCCAGGACCCTGAAGGACACTGGCCATCCTGCAGTAGCCTCCAGAATCCTCATCGTGTGTCTTCATCCTCGTTCCTGCCATTTCATCACCTGCTTCCTCGTCTCCCGGTGGGACTAATTTACCAGCTGCAGTGTCCTCATGCGACCTGTGGGATCGTTTTCTCGTTACCTTTAGCGTCTGGCGGCAGATCATTTACATGTTCAGATATTTCAGAATCCACAGGTGCAGCTGTTTGGATCTCTGTCGACTGGCCTTCGATGGAAATAGCATCCAAACAGCCGCCCTGCAATAAATCTGGAGTCATTCAGTGTTGCTCTGATTCAGTTCTGTGGTTTGTTATCTCTTGTTTACTGTCTGGTAAAGATGACGTCCGTAAACACTGACTGAAAATCACGCCTCCTTTTGTTTGCAAATGCATTTGACAAATGGATTCTGAGGTTTGTCTGAGTCAGGGTATCCTTGGTGGCATTTCTGGGAATTTTGGAGAAGAGTTTCAGTTTTACAATTAGTCCTGTAATCGAGGATCATCAACGAACCCGCCAGATACAACATTTGGTCTGAAAAACTGTAAAAAATGTGGGAAAGCTATGTAGCGTTTGCAAACTGCTTCTTTTTTTTCAGTCCAAAACCCAAAGATATTCATTTTACTGTCCAGCAAAAGCAGCAAATTTAAGATAAATACAAAAATAATTTTGTTTTTCTGTTTAATAACTAATTTAATGAACTGTTTCAGCTCCAATTACATACAACTCTGATCTTCAGACGTAATTTAACCATTAAGGTGAAAAAACACAAATGATGGATCCATATTCTTTTCCAAAAGTACCTGCTCTACCACAGAATGGACTATTACTATATTATACATTATATTTTGCACCTTGATGTAGAAAGTAGAGCCTGAATGACGTATTGGTTGGTCGATATATCCGCTGGTATCGGCCTGTTACAGAAACATCAGTGTCGCCGTACATGTACTATGAGATGAAAACTTTCTTTTACAGAACATAAAACAGAAAAAGATTCTGGAGATAATTCAGGAACAGTTTCGTCACATAATTCGTCCAGCGGAGGGAGTCCGACTTCACCATTTACCGTGTCTGCAGCACATGTAGCAGAGCAGATGGTGGTGCGGAGTCAAGCTTTGTCCTGAGTTGAACTACCGTAATTTCCGGACTATGAGCGCACCTGAATATAAGCCGCACCCACTGACTTCAAAAAGAATTTGTACATATACAGGCCGCGCTTGTCTGTAAGCTGCAGGTGTCCACGTTGGTACATGAGATATTTACACAGAAACATTTTTTAAACTTTTAATTAAATACGTACCGGTAACGTACACAAATACCGTAGATGCTTTTTTCTGAACAGCGCCTGTAACACAGCTGGTTGAGAAAATAAAAACTCCAGCAGCCTACCAGGAAAAGTCACTGATCGCTGTCTTCATCTTCCTCCTGCACTAAAACCACTAAAGTTTTCAGTGTCGGAATTGAACAGCCTCAGAATTACTTCGTCACACACTTCCTCCGTCTCTCTTTCGTTGTCGCTCTCAATGTCACTTTGGTCTCGAGGCAAATTCGTAAAAATTCATAAATAAGCCGCATCATTGTTCAAAGTGTGTGGAAAAAAGAAGCGACTTGTAGTCCAGAATTTACGGTAGTTTGTGTAACTAGGAAGTTACTAAACATTGACCCATATGTTTGTCTTTTCAATATCACATATACAGTGTATGAACAACATCAGCAAGTATACTGACATCAGAATTTCTTTCTCCTTAAAAATCGGTATCGACCCCAAAAACGACTCGAGTGGGAAGAGTTTGGTGGTTAAAGGTCGGGATTCTTCTCAGGGAAATTCTACTTGTGACCTTTCTCAAATCATGACTGCAGCCCTGAACATAATATCCACTGAGGAACTACATTAGTGGTTTCCTGGGTTTTTTTTTTAAATGCCTAAAAATAAGACTGGAGTCACTTTTCTTCTTCTTTTTTTAAAGATGTTTGAGCTTCACTGTGACCATTAAAGTAAAGTCTGACACTAGAAGGTTGTTTTCAGGTTCACCTGTTGGTAAAATCACCTTAAATTTGAGTTAAAACAACCACGTAGAAGATGATTTGAACAAGTCTGGAGCTCGTAGTGCACATGTGGACTGTCTGGTTTCATTGAGTGTTTTTCTTAGTGTGGGAAAAGGGGGATTTTTATTATTATTATTGGGTTTTTTTATGTCTTAAAACACGTCATGAGTCGATCTTCAGAGTCCATTTAATCACCGCGTGCACACATTTAGCATCGGCTGTACATTAGGTGTCCCTTATCAATCATCTCACTAATAAGTTGTGGTTTTTGTGTTGAATTATTAATGTCATCGGCACTTAACGGAGGATCCTTTGACTTTGCCCTACAAAGAAACCCACACATCGCCCTCTCTGGTCTGTTCGGCCACATGTGTGTGCATGCTTACAGTTCGTTAAGTGTTCTGAAACACCAATGACGCCGGTCTTTGATTGTTGGTTCTGTCTGATCTGCTCCGTGTCGATGCTGGGTTCGGTCCAGCTCGCTCCTATTTTGGGATGACATCGATGCCAGAAGTAGCCTCGTCTTTAGAGACTTGCGGCCCTATTTTGAGGACCTCCGATACCAATATCTGGTATTTTTTACTCCTCGTTTGACTCTTGTGCAGGAGACTTAAGTAGTGAGTGAGGAGAGGAGGAGTTTCAGTTTCCTCTGTCTCTCTCTTGTTTGCTCGTTTTCATTCATTTTCTTTCCAATCTGCAAAATCATCCTTACAATTAAATTTTTTGTTAAAAAGCAACACAAGAAGCTGAATACCCGTGTCCACACCAAAGACCAGATCCCTCAGTGAAACCTTTGTCAAATCTCAGAAGCAGAATCTGCTCATATTAGTTTTTCTCCCACTGGTAAATGTAGTAAATCTTACTCCAAGCTCTCCAAAGTGATGATGTGAGCAAATTTTCTAAATCTTATTTTTGTCCTACTATTGTGTGTGTGTGTGTGTGTGTGTGTGTGTGTGTGTGTGTGTCAGATGATGAAATGTTGGAGCAAATGTCAGCTGC